ATCAACTCAACAAGATGTCTCCCATCTACGAGCGCCGTCCCGAAAAGCAGAATGTGGTCTTTCGTTCTGGGGACGTCCGCAGCACCTTGGATGACAAGCTCATGGGTAAGGCCTCTGACATCCGAGAATCAGCTCTCGAGGTTATGGAAGCACTTCTGGACAAGCTGAAGTCCCTCGATGCAAGCGGCAATCCGGCAACTCGAGAAGAGCTCTTGAACGCTATGCTTCATTACTTCTTGAGTGTCGGAGTTGATGAAGAGGAGATCGGAGACCTCTCTCTTGAGAAGACACCGAATCCTTATATTCATCGTTTTGGTCTGGCAGAGGACTCAAAGGTTCCCATCTTTACCAGCAAGACCAAGTACGCCGCGCTCATCGTCAATCTCGGCAACATGAGCAGGGGAAGGAAGCGTTCTGCTCCTACCTCCGTTGCTGATCACATTGACTGGGACGATTCTACACCGTCTCGTGGAGCCCTGATAAAATCAATTGCCCAGTCGAAGACGCATTTGTTCATGCTATGCGAAGCAGCCAAGATCGATGACTCCGAGGAGGCCTTCCTCATGTCGCGCGGTTGGCAGTTCTTGCGCAACGAGTCAAAGGATCTGATGGTGGGAAGTCGTACCAACGGTGTTGGATCTTCGCTCACCCGCCTGGCTGGCTCCACTCTCAGTGGATTCGCACACGAGTCTCTCCCTCTGACCTACATGGTCGTCGAGATCGTGTACGGCATGACAGTTCCGACTGGCATTCAGGGCAATCGAGATGATTTTCCAGAAGAGGCACTGACTAAGGTCCTGGAGCGCGCCGGCTCCGACCGTATCAGAGTCTGTGTCTTCCATCTCCGGAACGACGTGGCGGCAGACAAGGTGGCGTTGGCTCACGAGGTGTTGGGCAATATGTTCATCGACTGCTTGCACTACCAGGTCGACCTCATTGGAGGCGACGCCAACATGGCCCTGTACCGGGCCACTGGCAGGAAGCAGGAATCGATGGACATCCGCGGCGGGATGTGCCAGAGTTTCATGGACTACTTCCTGGAGGCCTGGTCAGAAAGCCCGAAGAGCCTACACCTCTGCTCGCCTCGCGCGAGGCATGTGTCAGCAAACGCCATGTGGCTTCTGAAGCAGTATGAGGACACGCTGGGAATGCCATACAGGGAAGTTAAACAACCAGACTGGAATACTTTTCCTACTTTGGATCCTGTTATGGCTACAGTCATGGAATGGGGACACAGCATGTCGGACGATCAATGGGCAGAGTTCCCGTCTTCAAGGACAGAGTTCGACATCCATGTCTCCGAGTGGCTGTTGAATTCCACCAGCGCCGCGTACCTCCTCAACGACCGGGACTATGACGCTCACACTCCGCTCCTTATTGAGGTTCACGCGAACCAGTACACTGGAGGCAGGATGAGAGCGCTTAACCGCAATCCCGACACCATGAAGGAGGCCGCGGATAGAAGAAAAGAGAGGCAGAAGTTGAACAAGGCGCGTGGTTCTGGTTCTACTGGTCCTGCGCCCGCACCACACGGAACAAGCTCTTCTCAGGAAGAGGCAGCTCCGGGTGCTAAAGCTCCTGGTTCTCAACGTCCTCCAGAACCCGCACAACCTCCTGGTGGCAAAGAAGGCGGCAAAGGAGGCAAGTCCTCTAAAGGCAAGGACAAGGACGCCAACAAGGGCAAGTCCAAGGGCAAGTCCAAGGGCAAGAACAAGGGGAAAAACTGACTAGGTTCCGATTCTTCGGACGTGGATATGGACAATGGTTCTGACGAAGTTCCTGTGGAACAAGATGAAGACCTTGCTCCAGATCCACAGATATCGCTACCTAGGAATGCTGCTGATCCCCGCGGTTACGACCCTGTTCGCCATCAGCCGATAATGCCGATTCATGCCAACGACATCTACCGCTGGCATGGTCAAAATCATTGGCGCGATAGAACCTGGGATCGTGACTTAGAGTTCGTCGACTGAACTGGCTGAGTGTTTCACGGAATGCTTCTTTCAGAAGAAGGTATCCACTTGAGCATTCGTCATTTCATAGGGAGATGCTTTTCTCAGGAAAAGGTACTTCCTAAAGAACTCTTCTTCAAGAGAAGATACTTATCTCAGGATAAGATACTTCCAATGCCCTTATACGTTTGCCATGTCGCAAGATGTCATGCTGGCATCAAGTAGAGCTAAGCTCTACAACCTTTTATGTTACAGTATGCTTTCCACCTGGAGAGGGAACTGAAACACAAGTGGGCAACTTTCAAGCACAAGTTTCCAGTTGAAGATCCGTTTGCGTTTTTGTGCGTGTTCTGCTCTTTTCAATGAAGCTGTCTTCAGGTGAGAGATGTATAGATTCTCGTCAAGTCGCAGATGTAGCTCAATACTCCGCTAATTCGACCAAGAGCAATAACAGGCTAGGTGAATGCCGACTCCACGGCCATGCAGCTCTACGTGTTTTAATTTTGTGCCTGGTTGAAACACTGAATGTTACACATCCAGGTGCCTGTCTGTTTCACGTATCACTTGCATGTATCCATGCCTGTTGCTCAAGGTTCTAGTGCAGTGGACTACAGCTGTGCGCCTGTAGCAAAAGAGACACCTGAGTGCCTGTGTTCCTGTACGCCTAGCGAGGGGATACACGTCCAGGTTACATCTCAGGGGGGGGGGGGTACCCCACTATTAAACCGACACCCACATTATAGCATAATGGGTCCCAAAACCCTATTCTAATTATCAATGTCCCTACATCATGTACGTGCGAGGCCCATACTTGGACATGCAGGGTTAGTCATAATATACGTAGGGGTTGTTAATAGAACTATAACCTTTATTTCAGGGACTTATAACCCGACTTATGACTAACCCGGACCCTCCAAGTAGAGTCGACAAGCAGCAAGACGGAGTCGATTCTTTGAAGCGCTGTCTATCCGGAACAGGAGTCAATGGGGCGTAATCATGTCAATAACCAGAATAAAATCTGCATAAGAATGATAATCGTAATGATAGTAGTGATAATAGTAGCTATAAAGATGCATCGAACATTTCCAGAATCCTTTCAAGCAGTGGCACCCCCTTTGAACCGCCCCGTCACGTAACTCTCAAACTCCAAACTCGAGCAGGGTTTGGGGGTCTTCTGTTATGTAACTCTCTAGGCGGTAGACGCGAAAAGGGTTTAGGGGATAGTCGTATATCCGTATTAACTGGTATTTTTATCATATCGCGAGTTAGTATCGTTCGGATGGTTCTAAATGTTGCTTTTGCTAATTACTGCAGTTACTAGCGCTAGGTTGCTAAGCTCCCGGGAGGGATCGGAGCAGTGAGAGCTGGACTCTGATGAAAGCCCAAACCCCGAAACCCCAGACCAATGCAAGAGCTACAGAAATAACAATTCAGACCCTGAGCGCCCTAAATGCCCTAAAGCCTAAACCCCTCAGCCCCTTACATCCTAAACCCTGAACCCTAAGCCCCGGGGCCCAAAGCTTGCACAGGCACCGACTTCACCGTCACTCCGATGCCGGAGGTGGTGCTTTCATGAGCCTGCTTTCGAGGGCTTAGGGTTTCGGGTTTAGAAGAGGGTTTTAGCTGTCCTGGCGTGACGTTGCAAGCCAGTTGCAAAGGAGGGCGTTTTAGGGCTCATGGAAATCCAGAGTATGTATCAGAAGTTCGTTCCAAGCTCCCCGGTCCCTATGTCAGTTCGTTTCGGATGTAGAGGCGAGGGATCCGAATTCCCGGACATGCTATGCTCACAAAGAGCATCTGCCACTTCTGCGGTTGGGTGCTGGCTTTCGCAGACCTGTCTTCTGCAACCCCGAGGTCGTGACTGCAATCACATCAAGTCTGAGGCTTTGATAATTACCTATACTATTGTAGGGGGGTCCTTTTTATATAAGTAACAGTATGGTATAGTACATTATTGAAGACTCCTATATTAGGGAGATGGATGTCGATTCCTACAGAGATTTAGGGCCTTGGAGTTTTAAGCTCAAGCTGCTCTGAGTCCCCAACGAGTAGTTCTCCAAAGTAGGGTCCCTTTGGGGGTTCCTCAAAGGGATCAGGGTTTCTGTAAGGGTACTATCAGTGTAGTTTTTAAATAGGGTTCCTTTTAGGCTGGTATTTTTTTTTTGAATTTATCCCTTTTATAAGGGTGCCGCTGCAGCTACAGATACCGCACCCGGGAGCCCAACTGCCCCTTTTTGTAAGGAAGATACAGTGATTCAATAAAGTGTTGAGGACTTGTGATGCTTTATGGAATTGTTGGATAGTAAGCCACAAAGCCCTGGCACAGATTCTTTGCACAAGTCGAAGGCAGTAGACACGGAGCCGCAGTTGTCATGCCTGTTCGCGCTACGCAAGGCTCAAAGCATAAGCCGTAATCGAATTAGGATTTAGGGCTGAGGGCTGGAATCCTAAACCCTGTTTAATTCAGCCGACCTCGAACCATATGCGTCGCCTGGAGTGTCCGAATGCGAGTGCCGAAACCCTAAACTCTAAGCTAAGCTACGTCATCCGATCATTTGAGCTCGGAGGGGAGCAGTCAGTTTACACTAGCTAACCCCAACTCCCAGTCTAATTTTAAGGCCTGACTCAAGCCGCCTCCCGGTCTGTCAGGCAAACGACAGTGGCTTTGAGCCCTGGTCCAACAAGGTTTTCTGTGGGCGGGGAAATGTTTGAACACTGTCGCATTGAGAGTTCAATCTAAAGGCTTGCTCTATACATTTGTACATACGTTTGTGTATGTGTATATATATATGAATATATATATGTATATATATATATATATATATATACATATATATATTATATATATAATAATATATATATATATATATATATATATATATATATGTATATATATGTATATACATATATATATATATATATATATTAGTCCTTCGTCAATTTTGAGTGTACTTGTGATGCAGCATCGCCTCGCAACTTGGGGGCTGTCTTGGCCTCAGAGGGCTCAAGCTGAATCACTGAAGGCGCTGTACAGACATAGGCCTCAGCATGTGCGCAAAGGTGTGTCAGAATGACAACATCCATTGCTCCTCGCCAAGCTGGCGTCACCTGCCCATGGCACGCCTGGTGTTTGCCGATGGCACCAAGGCACTCTCCCGCAGTGTCATCCACTGTCCGAACTGCAAGTCTTCCATGTACAAAGGTTCAGAGACATATGACCTGATGGTACAGTTGAAGCAGAAGGGTGAACACGATTTTGAGGTACCTGCTCCGAAGGAACCTGACACAGATGCACTCGATGAGCTGGAAATCAGGGTCCAAGGTACATCTGGTACCTATTTGCCTATGAACGCCAGGGGTGGGGCAACACAGATGAGTCAGTTGAATGGGTCCTACCGCATGAATGGCAAGTACAACGGCAAGCCTGTTTACGTCAATACCACCTCGAATGCGGTGATGTTTTACTGGAGTGGCATGCGCAGATGGGTCATGAATTTTGCGGGCAGCTTCACCAACTACGCTGCGATGTCGGAAGATGATCTGTCTGACAGCCTCTGGCCACCGCTGGAAGGATGGTTTTTGAGTCACATTGCAGGTGAGGAGGGAGACACGGAGTTGGTGGTTTCCCTAGACAATCCTGGCAAGATGGCAGCGCCTCTTCCTCAGCTTCACATACCTGTGTGGAAGAAGCCCGACAATTCAGGCTATGCTTCAGCCAAAGCGGCTGATGCCAAATCTGCAGCAAAAACCGGCACGCTTGAGGCTACCAAGCTGCACCTTGCGGGTGTGTTTGACAAATGGGAGATGGTGTCCGTGAGCAACAACAAGTTTGCTGAGAGAGGCTGGGCATCGATTAACCGCGAGACGGGCGGCGATTCGGTGTGTGTTTGGCCTTCATCACAACGCGATGGGCCTCCGGACCTCGGGTTCGCTTCCACGGCTGAGTTTTTGTCTGCCGGGTGGAGGATTGATCTCGATGCTGACGGGCATCCACTTCCGCATAAATGCGGGTACTAGATTCATGTCTAGATGCCTCCTTGGAGGGAACGTGTTCCCTTTCGTTTTTTCCATTTTCATCGGAAGCCGACCAGCGCCATGCTCCAGAGCACAAACTCTGTTAATGTTTGCTTGGGCCGTTCTGTTTTTGTTCTATATTCTTGCTTGTACACCTGCTTAAGTGCAGTGATGCGATGATGCTCGCACCGAAGAGCTCAACTACGCACGCCCATCCTTGTAAGTCAGAGCATGTTGGCAGGTCCTTGTAAATCTGAGGCATGCAGGACATTCTGGCATTAGCGACAATTCAGTAGTTTCACCTCATGGCCACATCGGGGGATGCTGCGTGCTGTTCATCCCCACGCGGGAGCCCTGTGGCTATGGCCAGGCTGGTCCTCACAGATGGGACTAAACGACTCAGCAAGGAAGTCACCGAGTGCGCAAATTGCAAGTCATACCTGTACCAGGGTGAGGAGACACTAAGAAGGCAAGTGAAGCTCGAGAAGATCGGTCCCCATGACTACAGACTGCCCAGACTGCCGGAGGCCATTGGGAGGATGCGCTTCGGGTTGTTGCGAAGTTGTAGATTGGACGGGCACAGAAAGCCTTTAAATTCAGAGACATGCGAATGTTGGAACTGGCGATGCAGCGATGGGGCCCAGCAACAGTGAGAATTGTGTAGCTTGTTTGGGGTGTCTCTCCAGTCCTCACAGTGGCCACAGAGGAGGTATACAGAACTACGTGAGAAGAATAGGGTGACCAGAGGAGTGTCTAGAGCAAATTATGGTGCGTACAAAAGTTTCGATTATAGCTCATGTGGCAGCCTAGTGGCGGCAATGGCTTGCCGGACCCGCATACTGAAGCCCTGAACCCTGTACCCCATTGCAGACCACGCCGATTGGACTCCAGATCAGCCGTGCTTGCGACCAACTGTACCACTTCCTGGTCACACCGGGATCAGGCAATGCAGATGCACTGTTGCAGCACTGGCAGAAGATGGCCCGTGAGCCGAACGCTTCTGCCCTGCTGAAGCAGAGTATCTTCGCTCTTTTGGAGCCTGAAGACATCAAAGAGTTCCTGCTCTCTCCGGATAACAGGCTGTGGCACACAATCCTTGCTACTAGGTCTGTGTTGTGTGAGAGAACGACCATGTAAGATTTTTGGTTTGGTGGTACGAGGGGACTGACTGTCAGTTTTTCTGTAGGTAATGGAAAAGAAGATGGAACCTAGTATCGTATCCATCGCACAGACACAAATGCAGCTCTCATTCATCGAAAAGAAGATGGAACCTACCATACCCGAGGACAGGACTGAACGCTTCTTGCAACTTCTAGAGGACGCTTGGCTATCTCTGGCTTGTGTTTCGGTGTAAGAACGTCTTCCCTTTTTCCTTAGACTCTGATCCATGGGCCCTGCGGCACGAAATCTATCTCCCAGAACATCCCGAACCCTAAACCCTGAACCCTAAACCATATCCTCAAACAGCCAAGGCGGAGGGGGAGCCAGTCCTGTGGTCAGCCGACGAAATGACTCCGGCGGCAAGGAATACCCATCTCGAGTGTCCTTAGGCCCCAAGTTCAATGTCAAGGGCTGAGGTAGACTGAGCGCGGATCTTGGCACTGGGGCACTGCTTGGATGCGAAAGACATTCGGCAGTCAGTCGAGGGCACAACTGCTTGGAACAATAAGGGCAAGGCTGCTGCAAAGTGTGTTTTGGGCATGGGAGGAGGAGTGTGTGAGGCAGGGGGGGGATTAGATAGAGCAGTGTTCAGTTTTGATGTTTCTGTCTTGTTTAGCTCGAGCATGGGGATTTGCTTATGGAGAATTCCTCACGTTCGCGGATGCCGAATTTGGGATGTTAGAATGAGTCAACGCAGGTTTGGGGTTTGAAAATGGTGCAAAGCAAACCCCCCTTCTCGGCTGGAGAACGGGGTTTGCTTTGCAGGAGTCCTCAGCTCCTCGATGCGGGGTTTGGGGATTGAAAATGGTTAAAAGCAAACCCCCCTTCTCGGCTCGAGAATGGGGGTTTGCTTTTCAGGATTCCTCAACTCTTGGATGTGGGAGTTGGGTTCGTTCACATTTCCAAGGCTGACATAACTCGGCGGCAACCTGGCCTGTCTGGCTTAGGAATCTTGAAAAGCAAAACCCCATTTGTTCGCCATTTGCAAACCCTCAAACCCCGCATCCAAGCACTCGGGAATGATGAAAAAGCAAACCCCAACTCTGAGCCGAGAAGCATGGTTTGTTTTCCTGGTTTTCCAATGCATCAACAGCACGCAGGGCTGAAGCTTTTACGCAGAAAAACAAAACATGCTGTAACAAAATGGCGCTGCTTTGTTTTCATATCGGTCAAGACTTCAACTCAGAAAAACTAAACCCAGCCGTAACAAAATGGCGCTGTTTCGTTTGCATATCCGCCAAGAATTCAACCCGGAAAAAAACGAAACATGCCGTAACAAAATGGCGCTGTTTTGTTTGCATATCGGTCAAGACTTCAACTCAGAAAAAAAGAAAACATGCCGCAACAGAATGGCGCTGTTTTGATTGCAGATCCGTCAAGGGTTCAACTCAAAAAACGAAAACATGCAGAATTCAACCCGGAAAAACGAAAACATGCCGTAACAAAATGGCGCTGTTTTGTTTGCATATCCGTCAAGAATTCAACTACAGTGTACAAAGAAATGACCGAATCGGAAGAGATAGTTGAAACTCTTGTGAGGGGCTTGCATAGTGCAATGAAGCGGCCTTTCTGAAGACCAGATTTGACGAGTCGCTTGAAGTGTATTGCTCCCATTTAAGATGGACCAACTATAACCTCGCGAGTGGACATAGTTGCCAACCATGCGACAGGGAAAACATCCCAAACCCAGCATCCAAGCGCTCGAGAACCCTGAACCCCGATTCTCAAGCCGACAAGGGGGGGTTGCTCTTCCCTATCTTCGAACCCCAAACTCCGCATCCAAGAGTTGAGGAATCCTGAAAAGCAAACCCCCATTCTCGAGCCGAGAAAGGGGGTTTGCTTTTCACCATTTTCAATCCCCAAACCCCGCATCGAGGAGCTGAGGACCCCTGCAAAGCAAACCCCGTTCTCCAGCCGAGAAGGGGGGTTTGCTTTGCACCATTTTCAGAACTCGAACCTGCGTTGACTCATTTTGACATCCCAAATTCGGCATCCGCGAACGTGAAGAATTCTCCATAAGCAAATCCCCATGCTCGAGCTAAACAAGACAGAAATATCAAAACTGAACACTGCTCTATCTAATCCCCCCCCTGCCTCACACACTTTTCCTCCCATGCCCAAAGCACACTTTGCAGCAGCCTTGCCCTTATTGTTCCAAGCAGTTGTGCCCTCGACTGACTGCCGAATGTCTTTCGCATCCAAGCAGTGCCCCAGTGCTAAGATCGGCGCTGGTGCCGTGCCCCACTCATTCCCTCATTCCCTGCTAAAGGCCGCCCAGCAGAATAGCGCACGTGAGACAAGCTCCTCAAATTGGTTTATGCCAGGGGTTACATAGGGGTTGCAGCTAGGACTCCCCTTAATCTTTGGTTCTGATTAGCAGGAAAATAATTAAGGAGTTTCGACCATTGGCTCATGTGGTTGTAAGGTTTCAGTAGTTTGTGTTTTTGTTTGGTGTTCAAGGCATGGCGCGAGGACGCCACCCTGCTTTGGATGATTGTTTTGTTGCATATCGCAATCGTGGTTGAGGGGGGTCACTATCCCAAAGCCCTAAACCCAGCCTAAACCCAAAGCCTTATAAACCCTAAACCCTAATTATGGGGACCAGGCTTCAAGCCAGTAGTCATGGACCACAGCATCCGCGAGCCTGCCACAAACACCCCCTTCGGGCACAGCGGCTACATGAAGTACTTGACTCTGAAGATCGTCCAGGCCATGGGTATGAAGGACATCGCAATTGCGGGGCTCTACTACAAGGAGAGGCTTGTCGGGAGGGTGATACGGCTAACAAGAGGATTCACCGCAGCCTTTTTGACTTGAGCTATAGCCCACATTTCCCCAATGACTCCAAGCAATCAAGCCTGACTCCTACCCAAGCTCTAAACTGCCCTGGCCTTGAACCCTAAACCCTCAAGCCTAAGCCCTCAAGCTCAAAGAGAAGGATTCCTACACTCCTGAGACGCAGATTCTCGAAGAGCTTCACGACCGGAAAGAGCCAATGGACGGACTCATCGCCATGTGACTGGGTCAGACTTTAGGACCCGCTTGGTCGAACCTCAAAACCCTTGCATGAACAACTGCACATTGCACCTGAACCCCAAAATTTTAAAAACCTTAAAACCCGCACCCTAAACCCAGAACCCTAACACCCAGAACCTGCAAAACCAAAACTTAAGCCCTCTTCTGTGGAGGTTCGGTCCCGGCGAAGAAGATCGCGTGGCGGGCCTCGAGGCCATCAAGCGCTTCAAAGTTCCCAACGCCTTCCTGGACCTCACACTTAAGGCTGCAGACAAGGTTTGAGGGTTCTAGGGCTAGGGGTTCCTGAGTCGCAAGGGTATCGGAGTAGCGTTTCGGAGCTACGGGCTCTGGGCCGTAGATCCCAGACCCAAAATCTCCAACTCCAAGCTTACCTGCTAGATCCTGAAACCCGATGCCAAAGCCCTGAACTTGGAGAGGTTAAGGTTTAGGGTTGGGCGCAGGTTTGAAAGGAAACTGCAGGTGTGGAGTCTTTGGTAGAGCAGCATGGTTCTGCTTTAGCTGTTGGATGATGTCCCTCGATAGAATTGATCACCCCCCTCATGATCCGAATGAAAATAGCTCCGTGCGTAAAGCCTCCATTCAGCCTCGAGCTCCAGTACATGATGATGACTGCGACTAGCGCCTTCTCCTTGCTTAATTGATATAGTTGTATATTGCAGAGGCATCGATACTGGGAGTGAGTGACATGCCAGGGCTGACACCCTTGCTCATGTCCTTGACGAAGGCCAGCGTCAGATTCCAGCAGTCGGACTTTGTGCAATCAGTTCTCGACGCTGTGCGGGAGCTCGATGAGATCTTCACTGTGAACTTCGGCTCAAACCCCTACCGCACAGCAGAGGACAAAGGAATGGGCGAGGTCTCCGTTAACCTGGTCGATCTGATGGAGTTCCTTGAGCTGCGAACGGATGGGAGCATGGAGGCTTCAAAGCAGCAGCAGGCGGAGAGCGCCTTTGCTGTCTGGAGGCAAGATCCGACGTTTCGCCGCAGAGTTGTCGCCATCCTCACAGAAGAGGGGCGCGGCTGCGCCAACCATCTGGACTATGCGTACTTGGTCAGGTGGCTGAGGCGACACTTCCCCGACACCCGCATCCTGGTTCATGCTCATGCAGGCCGGGGCAACACCCAAGATGCTGCTAGTGTGGAGGCTGTCTTGAATGGCGGCAATGGTGTCTGGGCGGCCGTGATACCGCAAGCTGCGCAGGGCGGTCATAACTCGTCCGTGGTTTTCCTGGACGCGGGGCTTACTTGTACGCCTTCTTTCATGTGTTTTGTTGGTGTGTTGTGCTCATCCTAAACCCGAAAGGACAACCTTTTGGCCTTGGGATGCCGTCAAGTTCTGAATGACTTTTGGCTGCACCAGGCAGCACAGTGCGCCCGGCATATCTACTTCTTGAATTTCAATACCTTCCGTGTGCCGGACGACTGCCCGATCTGGGGCAGGCGCGTCAACCAGTTGCTCCATACTGCTTTCTCGACTGTTTCAGGGGAAGAATGGAGGCGAAGACGAACTGATTACTACAACGTGTGGAGCAAGCGTGCGCAGGTTGAGTTTGAAGAGTATGCCAAGTTGCCTGAACAAAGCTGCGTGAGTGAAACCCGCGCGCGGAACGAAAGCTTTGGCAACTATCGAATCTCCCCGCTGGTGTCAGACGTGGAGACATGGCGACACCGCATTGCAGAGCTTCGCGTTTTGGGAGGCAGCAGGAAGAGAAGCAGTTAGCTAGATTTATTTGTAGGAATATCATTACATACTTGTAACTTGTAGCAAAAAGGATTTCCAAACCCTATTCCAATCACCACGCAAGAAGGGCTCGGAGACTGTTGGGGCCATGAGACGTCTTTATACCGCTAATACGACAACACCTGCCAAAGTTTGTGATAAGGGATGTGGGCGGTCAGGCAAGGAAAGGGTTGGCGACTACGTTAACGAGCTTCGCAATCTCGCCTTTGCCCTGATGAACGCCAACATCCGAGCAAACTTTGATGAGTGCGTCACCCTTCAGCGGCTGGCAGACGTGGTTCGACGGGCTAGGCGGCGGAATCCTGCGGGCAACATTCATGGTTTTGAGAAAGCCCGGCAGCACCAGGGCGATACAGAGTGACCAGACGCTACTTGGAGGCTTCTTAGCTACCACACACTGCATATGCTCATAAAGATTTGCTGACATGCAGTAGTCATGTTAGCTGCCGATTCCCAGCTGATGATGGCATAGAGCCTGGGTTCAAGAAAAGGCTCTTATACATTTGTGAGGAGTCCCAGGCTACAGGTGGACTTGTTTGATGTCACTGTGTGCCAGAGATCCCTGAAGCCGAAATCCTCAACCATTGTATGCTAAAGAGACTTGATTAATCTGATTGAAACTTCAGAACAGAGCTGCTTGCGAACCATCCGAAAGACTGTACGAAATGACACGACCTTGACACTAAACTGTCTAGAATCAGCACGAATTGGCGCAAATCAGAGCGAATTGTAATAGATTGGAACGAACTGGAGCTAGCATTGACAGGCATAACGAGAAATTGAGACGAAATTCGCCCCAAATTAGCATGGCACGAAGTTGACACGAATTTGACACGAAATTGCCAACGAATAATTCGACAGCTTGCGCTCAGCAAAACATGCCCTCCCTCAAAACAGCTGTTTCAATTCTGGCGGCCGTGCTGGAAATTTGAACATTGAAGTCTGTGACCTGTTAGCTATGAGCAACTAGCGCGACCATGCACCAGATTGCACCACATGTGGAACTGCGGGCCCCCATCGTTTCGCACTAAACACCGAGCTTGAGATGGGTCGTTTTCTTGGGGATTCTGAGTCGGATGCCAATCAGTGGCGCAAGTCCTGTGGGAGCTTTGGCACAATCCTGTTCGCTGGGCCGGAAAGTGTTGATGAGGCTCGTTCCTTGTGCGTGTTCCAATTCCACCCCCTCCAACCCAGTGACTGAAAGTTGCCGTAGCAAGTCCAGCCGCACAGTTTTTCAGTATGGCCAAGTCCCTTTGACTGCTTACTGGGTTGCGACACAGAAGATGTGATGGCTTAGATGCGAGCCGTTTTGTTCTTTTGCAGCAGTGCTGCTGGGCTCTGCCTCTTCGCACGTTACCTCAGCATATCGGTGCAGATTCCCTGACATGGAGTCTTCATGCAGGTTTGAAGCCGGAGCATGGCTTGCTCCGGCGAGCTTCCTGAAAAAGGCTGGAATCGTTGCAGTCCGTGGTTTTGTAGGCCGATTGCAAGTGGCAGCGCAACTATATGGAGAGCACGGAATGACAGCCTGCCCTAAGCTGCAAAATGTATTCTTCCTTCATTGGCATGGTCTTACTATACATTGCTTTACCAGTCTAAGATTTGCAGACGTGGTCGCTGCCAGGAGAGGGCTCCGATGGCATGGGCATGCGTGCGTTTCCAGCTTGAGTCATTCCTGTGAAGCTGGGGATCGGATCCAGAGACTCGTCCAATTCTTTCGCCCGCCCGAGCCGCGGGGCGGCACGGCCGCGCCTTGTGTTGCCGGGTTCCTCTTTTTCTGCCTGTCTGGCAGCGGAGCGGCGTAGCCGCAATCTGTGCTGCCGGGGCTTTCCTCTCTTCGGTGGGCTTTTATCCCACATGCCTCAAGGGACACCGTTTTCCAACCTCTTTCTGTCAGCAACCTGACTCCTATAATTATTGCTGCAGAGCCAGGAGAAAAGGTATTTAGACAGGCGGAATCGCTGTGTGAGTTCTTTCTCCTGTTGTGGTTTAGCGTGTGCCATGCTTGGCTCTTGTGATACTTCAAGCCGTTTTTCAAGAGTGGGTGCTATGATATCCCAGCCATAAACAAGGGGCGCCTTCCATGCCAATCTCCGTACGGCCTTGTGGTCACATCTATGTCCATGTGAACAGGGATGTAAGATACGCAGAGTGTCAGTGTCGGCTAATGGTGCCTTAGGCCTTAGGCGTAAAGAGAGGAGCCTGGCTGGGCATTTGCCACTTTTGGCACAATGTCTGGCCTTTGGCTGGGGTTTGGCAGTTTTTTGTAGGGTCCCTACAATTATAGCTCTATATAAGGTTCACAATCAGAGCCTCTTACAAGCATGTGGTAGGTCAAGGTAATTAGGCTGTTTTACGGAGTCCGGCCAAAACCCCCAAGGCCCAAGGCCATGCTGGAAAAAACCCAGCCTAAGCTGAGGAGTTTCCGGTCGTGAAGGTCAAGGAGGACAACAAGATTCTGACAAACGCCTCGTGGCCGTACAACCTGCTACAGCTTCAGGGCGGTTATAGGGCTTACTTGGGTCTTATAGGGGTCAGCGTTTGGGGTAGGTAGGGTAGAACTTGCGGGTTAAGTTTGCGCAAGTTTCACATGGTGGCCGAGAGTTGAGTGGGAGTTCCACAGCTGGTCAACATGATCCGGAGGCCTTTTGGGAGCACATGCAGAATCGAAGGAGAGCATCACCGAAGCACCTTATGATGAGGTACCGGCTGTGCTGAATGGAAGAGAACCCAACACTACCCCTAATCGCCCTAATCATCGACCCTCAACCCCCAATCACGTGGGAAAAAAAACACGAGCCACCAGGATACTCTTGAAAACCCATTTGCAGCTACCCGACTTCATGTGGCGAGGGCTGCCGACCTTCGACAATGAGTAATGGTATCTCCTTATAGACCCTCTATAATCACAGTAAAATCTCCCAAAACCCTCTGTTGGCCCTTAGACTACCTGGGACATTCCTCTCCCTGCTTCGAAGATCCTTTTCGCCTTTCCGAGCATCGACTGTAGGTGGCTTCCGGACAAGTTCCACAAGTCAGTGAAGAGACCGCGCGCAAATCCGCCACAAAGAATAGAACGCCAGCGAAAACTATGCACCGCACCAATGCAGGAAGCGTGCATACGACGCAGCGTTCGCAAGTAATAATGGGACGCGTGGACCAGATTTGCAGCATTTGTTGTAAACAACAGGACGCAGAAGACCATATTTTGCGCGCACTCGGCACGCCTGTCTCAGTCAGCTCTCTTTGCGCTGAACACAAAAACCCCAGAGTGTAACCACACTTTTTGAGGAAAAGCACAAAGTGAGGAAACCCTAAAGCCTGGACGGCTGCACCTTAAACCTTCAGCCATGGAAACCCTTACAGCGACCCTTGCAGCAACCCTTATAATGGCCCTTATAATGAAGTAACAGCGCTTGTAATGCGCTTTGCGTTTGTGCATATAGCTTGTTGTTTCACGTTGGCCAAACCCTGGGATCCGGGAAAACGCAGCATTGACAACACAACGCATGCAGCAGAAGAGCCCAAAACCCTGAAACTTACTGTGCATGTTTTTGAGGTTTACACTGCAGAAACTTCGTGCAAACCCCAGACGAAGCTTTGTCAGGCCTAGGCACTTCTTGCAGAGGCCGGCCAAGGCTTGTACGCCTGTGACAATGCGTCTTGTTCCACATCCTTACAGAGTATGCTGTAAATACCGGTGCGTTCGGCATGGTCGCCAATGGCAGGGATGTTTGTGACAACATGTCTTGCTCCACATCATTGCGTAGCATGTTGTGCGAAGAGGCGAAATGCTGTAAAGACCAGTGTTTTCGGCATGGTCGCCAAAGGCATGGATGTTTGTCACTGGGTGTCTTGCTCCACATCCTTGCGCAGCATGTTGTGCGAAGAGACGAAACGCTGGAGAGACCAGTGATTTGGGCATTGCCGCAGTGCGACTGACGTTCTTACCCTCCTTCGGTCCTTCACCCCCACCGCCTGCCTCCACCCAAACGAGACACATGAGCCTCGAACCTGACAAGTGGCCTAGACACAGGGCGTGTTGCGGGCGCTATCACCTACATGGTAGCCCGGAGAAAAAGCGAATAACCCTTTTTTGAGTAAGGGGCCGTCCGAATTATTCTGCTTGAGGCCGTCGAGGTTTAGCAGCTCGTCACCTGCAAACGTTGTGGCTAAGTAATATGGAAGCCTGAATAATTGGCAATGCCATCTTCGCAAGTATATAGCTCCGCCCAACACCATGCTCTACTTATTTAGGCCCCATTATGTACCCCATGCCATGTCTTCACACCTTGGATCGGAAAGCCTTAATATGTCCGCAATTTCCAATCGAAGCTTTTGACATGTCCTCGAATGAAGCCGATGAGCCGCTGAACCCCGAAACCTTCAACCCTAAACCGAAACCCTTGAGCTGGAAAAGCATGAGCCACAAGGCTGGCATGGCCTTCCTTGCAGCCGGAGGATCGCGGCTGGTAGGCTCACGTCAATGGTTTGAAGAGTTGACGTTGGGTTTGAGCTTTTGAAGTTTCAGATTTGGAGGTGGGTTCTTGGGGTTGCGTGGAGGTGGGCTTGGGAACCCAGAGCATTTTTGTTTGCAGCGCAGGGTTCACGATGCAGAGGGGCCCCCTGGTGTTCATGGGACCCCATGTGCTGTCTGCGGTTCGTCTCCTGTTCCTGAAGCCTCCTATTGGTCACTCTAGGTTGCCAACCCAGATCTCTATAAGAAAATGCGCGGAAGCACGCATGGTTCAACAATTCGCTTGAAGATTTGATTCGTTTGCCCCGGGGCTCGTTGGGTATGCGTGTCATGCGGAAGACAGCATTCAAACGCGAGCTGATGAACCTATGTTGAAGACTTAGGACTTAGGGTTTAGAGTGGACGGTCTGGTGTTCTCATACATCGCAACAATGTCTCAGTACTCCGGTCCAGCAAGTCCGAAGCTCAAGTGGTATCGATCCCAGGCCTCACAGCCTTTGGTGCTTGAGTCCAGGCTTTATCGCACCGTAGAAGCTGAGAGGGCGGTGCGAGGGGAACATGAACAATACCGGTGTTCAGATGGTCATGAAATGCTCATGCAAGTTTTTGCATCACGCAGAACCGACGGTACAGACCTAGGAATACTTGGCGGCAGTATACCTTGTAAGTACCTGTAGAATCGGTTGGTATACACCGAAACATACCGAAGCCCTTCTCCAAATCCTGATATGAAATATCACCCTGTTCGCACTATAAAGGCCGCTGTATGGGTGATTCTCTGAAGTCGGGCCCCTTTTTTAGGTCCCAGTGGCACGGCACCCTTATGAAGAGGACCCCCAAAGGAATCCAGTTCAGAAAACTACCTATATCAAGCCGCATCTTTT